TGCAAGACACAGTAGTCAATGACAATAGTAATCTATTATTTGATAAACCCAAAGACCTCAGTTTCTGGGATAAGAATCCACTCTTTGACAAAAACTGCTGGAAAAACTGGAAAAGAGTGTGGCAGAAACTAGGCATAAATCAAAATCTCACACCATATACCAAAATAAAGTCAAAATGGGTTCATGATTTAAATATCGACTTTTAATAAATGAAAAAAACTGAGGCGGACAGAAGTAAGTGATTTTCTCAGGATCAAAGATTTGAACTCAGGTCTTCTTGACTCCAAGTCCAGTGTTCTCTCCACTATGCCACTTAATTGCTGAAGAATAGTAATAATAATAATAATAAATGTGCCAGATCTCACCTGATCCTTACAACAACCCTGGGGCATAGCTGCTATTATTATCCTCATTTTACAGATGAGGAAACTGTGGCAGACAGAGATTAAATGACATGCCCAAGGTTACACAAGTAGTAAGTGTCTGAGGCTAGATTTGAACTCCAAGCGCAACACTCTCTCCATTACCTGCATTTTGGGGGAAAAACTGGACTATTTTGCTTAGAGATATAGCTTTGGAAAAACAAAATCATTAGAATCCAAAGTTTTACTATTTAAAAAAATAAAACTATATTGGTATTGGACTTCAAGTAGAACTCAGATATATTTTTTTTAAGAAATTCCAAAAATAAAGCTTCAAAAGTCAAAAAAAAAAGAACTCAAGCTAATCTACATTATATCATTAGAAATGCTACTCAGGCTTCCATGTACTCCTTTATTTCTTTCCAAGGAGTGACTTGATGATGTGAATAGACAGACTGAGACAATATAATGCTATAACACAGAGGCAAAGAAATAACATTTAACCATACCTTTAATGTATTCCAGTTTCGTCTCTCACCCATGCCCACTAAATATGTTTCCTTTAACTACATTTACTCTGTACTCATCAAGAATGTATGAGAAACTAAAGTCACATTTTATCATGCTTGTTGTGATATGGGAAGTTGACTCCACATTACAAAAACTTATTTTTAGTGGACATTAAGTGGAACTCAGTATCTCAGAAACAAAATAATTCTTTTTTGAAAATTCACCCCTTCCAAAGGCTTTAAAAGTCCAATAAAAGGGGGAGGGCAGAACTATCTAGGAGCACACGTAGAGACTATGAGCCAGAAGGAATGATATTTGTGATATTATTCAATAGTTACTTTACTAGGTCTATTTTTTTCGTATGGATATTCACTCCACTGATGCAGATTGCAAGCCATTCATACCTCCTAATCCCATATAATTCTTTTCTATTTTTTTCCATAAATTTTCCATAGAGGATCTAGCCAACACACTGGGCATCTTCCTATGGGTATTTTAGCATTTTGTCAATATCACTGAAATACTTAAGCTGCTCATTTGTTTTTTTCCTGTTCTCTCTGCAGGGTGCATCCACCCCCTTTTTTGGCCATATGGATACTTGTTAATGTTGTTTATTCTACTCCCTTATTCCCAAGTAACCTTGGAATTATGAAACAACCTCCTTATGCCCTCCAGATGTCTTTCCATTGCGTTTTGAGTCACCTGTGATTTTTAATCCTCTGAGATTTTAATGTTTATTGATTCATAACTATAAAGCATCATCAGGAGAATGTTGATGGTAAAATAAATAAATAGAAGTATGCGTAGGCAGCTGGGACCAGCATGGATTCAATGAAAATGATGAACAATTTTCTAATGTGATATCAGAGACTATAAGGAACATCAAGAATGGAAAATTCCTTTTTCCCTTTAGACTCTGCACAGCACATTCTTTATAGCAATGTGGACCATTTTTGATAAATATCTGTTTTATGCCTCAATTGATAGAATAATCAGTAGGTTGATGAATAGTACATTCTCTATTAATGAAGATAAGATGAAATTTGAAGTGACCTTATTTTATCCATGAGAGACACCTTTTCAGAAAGGAGATTTTCCTGCTACATATTGCTCCACTATGTCAAACATTTGCTTGTTTGTTTTTATAATGAATAAATAAAACAGCATCTTGAATTTTCCACATCAATCAGTTATGTAACTGAAAACAAGGTCTGTGATGGGAAAAAAGGATGAATTTGGCATCAGACTACCTGGGTTCAAATCCCAGCTTTGTCATTTATTGCCTTTTTGACTTTGGGAAAGGCGCTTTACTCTTCTTGGCCATAGTTTTCTTAAATGTAAAATCAAGTTGATGGAATAGTTAGTCAATTAGCATTTATTAAGTGCCTACCATGTGCCAGGCACTATTCTAAGCATTGGAGATAGAAAGGCAGAACACAGTCCCTTCTCTCAGAGCTTAGTCTAATAGGGGAGAAAACATCCAAACAACTATGTCTT